TTGAGGAGAAAGGCGGAGTACAAATGATGTAAAGAAATATTTTAATTTCGTATTTTTAGATGGCATCAGAACCTGTGTTCCTTTCCGATTTCAGGTGACTCTGAGATCATGTACGGTTTTTACGTTGTTTTCCTATAATTGTTTTTATCCCATCAGTCATTTTTAGGTTTCATTCATTGCTAGGGTTGTCAGGTCCAGAGGTCATTTCGGGGGGGATCGCGGGGGAACGCAGTTCCCCCGGGTGAGATGCAGGGGGGCGGGGCACATGACGAAGCCCCGCCCCCTGCTTCCGGCCGCCCCACTTCCAGCCCTCATTCAGCCAGGAGGAGGCAGGAGAAGAGGGAAGGTAAGTTGCTTCCTCCCCGCCTCTCCCCACCCCTGCCTGCCTGGGGCCAGGGAGGGCCTTGGCGGGGCTTCCTCGCACTCCCACTGGCCTTGCAGGTCCACCGCCGGGCCCCTGATGTCAGGGGTGGGGCATATGCTAATGAGTTATGCTAATGAGTTCCCCTAGCTCTTTTTCTACGAAATGAGCCCTGGTCAGGTCCCTCTTTGGGGGGGGGCTTACTGGGAGCAGGAAGGAGGAAGTGACTGGAAGTGACATCATCACATCGGGGACATAAGGGCAATGCTCTGGTATTGGGGCAAAAACTCTATGGTAGATTTGGTTTCTACCATAGAGTTTTTCCCCCAATACCAGAATGTCACTCCAGCGTGAGGACATCACTTCCAGGTCACATGGGCAGTGACATAGGTATGTCGCTGCATATCGCCAGAGCCTCCTTCTTTTTCAGGGTAAGTTCCCCCTGCCAGCCAGCAGATAGGCAGCTGGACAGAGGGGTCTGGCCGCGGGAGACCCCCACCTCCACGTGTGTGTGTGTGTGTCTGGCAACCCTATTCATTGCTGTGTGTACCGCTTACTGATTTAGTAATAAAGGCGAGGTGTAAGTCAGTGTGGTGTAGAGGTTAAGAGTATCGGACTAGTATCTGGGTCTGAGAGACCCAGGTTCCAATTCCTGCTTGTGCTATGGAAGCTGGCTGGCTGGCCTTGGGCCACTCACACACTCTTGGCCTAACCTACCTCACAGGGCTGTTGTGAAGATAAAACAGAGTAGAGAAATATGTAAGCCTCTTTGAATGCCCGTTGGGGAAAGAGGTGGTGTATAAGAAGAAGAAGAGATTGGATTTATACCCCGCCCTTCACTTGGAGTCTCAGAGCGGCTTACAATCTCCTTTCCCTTCCCCTCCCCATGACAGACACCCTGTGAGGTCGGTGGGGCTGAAAGAGCTCTTTCCAGAAACTGTCCTTGAGAGAACAGCTCTGAGAGAACTTGTGACTGACCCAAGGTCACCCCAGCCGCTGCACATGGCGGAGTGGGGGATCAAACCCAGCTCTCCCAGATTAGAGTCCGCGCTCCCAACCACCACACCAAACTGGCGTAATGGGAAATGAACAAAATAAATAAATACGATTTCTTCTAAAAAAACAGTCCCAAAGGTGTTCCGGCGTACCATTCCAACAATAAAGAAATCATTCCGAATGCTAGCTGTCCAGCGCATACATCCGTGCGTATACTTAACTTGGGATCTCTTCCATTCTGCAGCAAAACAACATCTGTTCTCTCACCCACAAATTCACTCCTGACCTCCGACAGCCCGTTCCTCCCGCCAGATGCTTTTGAAGGGTGCTCAGCTTGGCAAGAGGCGGAAACTCTGTTTGCCAAGAATAGGCCAACTACTCAGATTGGGATCTGGAGGCAAACAAGCCTGTTCCACATCCGTCCAAGGGTATCAGCCAACCTTTCCTTCCACAGAACTAACAACCCATTAAACGCTATTAATTTAGTGACCTTCGCCCTGTTCTTTTTCTCCAGGAACAGAAAACAAAAGCTAGGGTTGCCAGCTCCAGGTTGGGAAGTTCCTGGAGATTTAGGGGTAGAACCTGTGGAGGGGAAGGACGTGAGCGGGGTACGGTGGCCATAGAGTCCACTCTGCAAAACAGTCATGTTTCTCCGGGGGATCTGATCTCTGTAGTCTGTAGGTAAAATTCAAGAAGAACACAGAGACCAGGCACGAATTTTGCTAAGTTAGTCAACTAACAGCTGGGGGTGTCCCACATTTGGCTTCAATAGTTAACCCCTAGAAAGCAAAGCGGATCCCACTGCACTGAGAACCACTAATCAGCCTGTTCCTTGCAGGGGTCATTTCGTAGAAAAAGAGCTAGGGGGACTCATTAGCATAACTCATTAGCATATGCCATACCCCCTGACATCACTGGAAATGTGTCCTCCCCACAGCCGGCGGCGACCTCCAGCGGGCACCAGCAGGGAGCTCCAGGCCCCGCCCTCCTGCACCTCA